AAAAGAGGCTTCAAGTTCGTCTCTTGAGTTCATATCATCAGTACAATCTGTGGACAGCTGTATAATAGAGCCATAACAGAGACAGTGACTTATGAAACAGCCATCTGACTCCCTGCTGTGAGTGGTTAACTCTTTCACACCTAAACCAGATAAAAAGCCAGACTCTTAGGAGGATGAAAGCCCACGAGCGCGCTCAGAAACGGTTTTCCACACACAGCCTGAGGTGAAGGATTCCATCGATCTTAACGCTTCGTGTTTAGAGGCCTGTCGGGTAACTTCAGGAATGCTGCTTGGGTTGCTCCAGCACGGTTTTTTTTTTTTTTGACATTTCCCCATTGTGGCGGCCTCCGCTCGCATCCAAGGCCTTGTCATCATTTCAGGAATCTGGAAAACACTAGGAGGAATGAGAGGATTTTTGTGCTTTCTCAGTCCGTTTTCCTCTCTTCGCTTCGGGTCGTCCTCATGGCCGGGGCCCTTAAGTTTTTCTTTTGTTTTTTTGAATGGTGACCAACAATAACAACATCCCATAAACAATGGAGTTGGTTGAGTTGACGGGGGGTGTGGGGGGGTGAAGTGTTATTGCGTTTGGCAGCTGCTGCGCTGGCAGGCTCTCGGCTGAGGGTTAGCAATGTGCTTTGTGGTATGAGGAGATATTATGTCAGTTCTTGGATATGTGGCAGGTCTCGCGGGACAGAGGACTCTGCATCCTCTAGTAAACCCCCTCTCTGTTCCTTTCTCACATGCGTTCATTTTAACAGGCACAATGCCATTGAAAAAGCACCTCAAATAACTCACAGTTCACAGTTAGGCTATTTACTAATACATGGTTAATAGAAAACCATCAGAAAGCAAAGTTTGTGTACTTAATATTCAATTAGCTTATACAATACACTTCCAAAAAGTGGTTTTGTAGCAAGGCCATAGAAGAACCATTTTGGGTTCCCCAAACAACCTTCCAGTGAACAGTTCTTAAAAGAATTTTAAGTATCAGTTTAGTTTAAAGAACAATTCGCGCATGTCTATTATAAACATGTTGGCTGTTTATTAGGACTTAAAGCACATATGACCATATTCTACATCCATAATCCAACCCAATACCTAAATTTAACAACTACTTACTATTAATAAGCAGCAAATTAGGAGATTATTGAGGCATAGTTAATGGTTTGCTAATAGTGAGAATTGGACCTTAAAATAAAGTGTGACCAAAGAATCATTTTTTTTTTTTTAAACAATTTTATAAAGAACCTTTATTTATAGATAGATGATAGATAGATAGATAGATAGATAGATAAAAGTACATGGTAAAGCTCAGCATTGTGCCATACTTAATGTGTTAGCATTTGCAACATTGTTCTTTGGACCCTCACACACAAAGCGGTTGAGTAAAAAGGGGCAGGGCCTTGGGCCTCCCCGATGCACAGGTGCTGGCCCAGTGTTGTTGCCATGACAACAGGTCTTGGTTGGCACAGGGTCCTGGCCGAGGTGTATGCTCTCAGGTTACAGATTTTGCAACTTTTGAGGGCCAAAGGACTCTTCCAACTCTCAGTGCCAAAATAACACAAGAAATCTAATCAGGAACAAGAGCAACAAAAATATTACAAAAGCACAGTTGAGTGGAAGTGATGTTATTATAGAGTGGAAATGTATTAACACAAAGGTCTCCAGTGTGAAAATAACAATGAAACAAAGCTGTAGTGTCAGATTTGAAGTGAAGTGAAGTGACATGTGGCCAAGTATGGTGACCCATACTAGGAATTAGTGCTCTGCATTTATCCCATCCAAAGTGCACACACACAGCAGTGAACACAC